ACGGGAAGCAAAGCAGACTCAGCACAACACAGTCAGCTCGTTAGATGGCCAAATGATTATATAACAAGGGTTAAACACACTGCTGAAATCTTAGATAGATCATTTCTCTCGTCATAACACTCATCATCATTTAATCAAGTTCACCTTACACTAGCATTAACCATGAAAAGCCAATGAGTTGTCAGCTTTAAGATAAATGTTTAGAATTGCTTCAACATGTGTAAAAGGCATAAAGAGTAATGGGTAGAAAGAAGTCTTCAAAGTAATAAAGTAAATGCCAGTGAAGAGCCAGCAAAAGGAATAAAGAAGATTAACATTTTGACAGTAGATCAATGATAAAATTCAATGGACTTCACTCCTTTTCACAAAAATTATTTTCGATAAAAATCTAGCAAGAAGATGTTCTAATTTTAGTAATCAAAATGTGCTTAAAAATACAAAAAGATACCTTGATATTTCGTCTTCACCATCGCGAAATTGAAACGAAAACAGCCCCAGACATTTCCAAATGAACGATGCAACTTATGCAAGCTTCTAACCAGACCTTGGTATTGCAGAAGCATCAAAGGCGCAAAGACTTCGTCTGAAGCCTCATAGTAAGTCGACCAAGTGCATTTTTCAACTCGCTTAGTTTCTGTTCGCAGTGAGGTTAATAAAGTGTGTAGCATGGGCGTGGTGTGATAGGTTCTCTTGGTATAGCGATTGGAAGACGACTGTAAGAGAAGCAAATAAGTACGACTGGCAACTTACGGCTCCCAGGAATCATAGACATGTTCATCCTTTTATGATCATATTCACATTGTCTCACGTTTGCACATTATACTAACTCAACAATACTCAAATCAGACTTTAGAAAGACCATTTACTTCCTCCTGGGTTGGTCTTTTCGGAGAGACTTAGTCTTTCCAAAATATTGAACCATCAAAAATGATAAACATTTCTAACAAAATATAATATCATATATATAGACGGAAACAGTGAAAGAACATTGCTGACCCCGTTTTGCAATCTACATTACCAAAGTTTTAATCCCACTCATAGTCGACGATTGCAATACCTAACATCAGTTGCCGTAACAAGACGACATTAGTAAAGTAATAAAACTGAGCCAGTACTTAAATCCAAATTTACAAAGTTTCAATCCCACTCATAGTTGACTACTGCACTCCCAACCCGTGCAAAAACAAAGGCATTTGTGTCGTGGAGGAAGGAAAAGGATATAGTTGCTCGTGTGAGCCAGGATTCACCGGTTTCCACTGTCAAGGTAATTGGCTTCATGTTCAAGTCCATGGTTAACCGAATGGGGCTTCGTCGCAAAGCGTTTTTATTGTGATTATTATTCTTAAAATATCTTTTTAAAAATATCTATTTCCCGACTACTTTGCTCGGACACAGCATACTGTAAGTTATAAATAATGTTTTGTTAGCTAACTCCCGGAAAAAAAAATTGGCCTAATTGGACCTGACGAGGAAAGACTATCTAAGAACCAATCTTTGAAAAGTTGGCATAACTACGCAATAAGCTGGCAAGATGGAACGGAGTTTGTCAGACGGCCAATGAATCTCTAACGGAGATGTACATGGTGAATACAACTAATCATATCAGAATTCCTAAGAACTAATAAGCATGTTTCGATCTCTCCAGTGGACCACTGTAACCCTAATCCGTGCAAGAACCAAGGGCTATGTGCACGGGATAAAGCCAGTCATTACAAGTGCAACTGCCATAATGGCTTTTTGGGACGCAACTGTGAAGGTAAGTGGTGTAAATTATTGATTATTTGCCCTAAATGACTGTGAAAACAAAGTAGGCCTGAGACACTAAAGGATTCCTAAAGGAGGGTGAGGAGGGGGCTTAAATCTGGCAAAATATTGAAAAGGTAATCGGATAAAATATATTAATGATATCTTCACTGTGTCTGTGACAAATCTGAGCATATCACACATTATGCTTTACATATGGATTGCACATCTGCGGTATCATTAACATATATCATGATATAATTAACATTTCACTTAATTTGTTGAAGGAAAGGACTTTCTGTAAATGATATATAAAAGAAATTCTTCAAAAAACTGTGGTTGATACAAGAATCTCGATACCACTTTTAGAGGCGAGTCAAATTTTGAAGTTTAAAGATATGTTTGTTGAGTCAAATACGAGAAATGTATAATGTTATTTTGACTTATCATGTTTCTTCAGTAAATTCTTGCCTCCCCAACCCTTGCAAAAATGACGGATTATGTGTCACTGTTCGTGGAAAGGGTTACCAATGCAAGTGTCGAGATGGATTCAACGGACCGCACTGTGAGAGTAAGTTCCTTGCTCTTTTCACCATCTTAAAAGGTTTTAGAGCTGTCACATGATGTTTTTGGTTCAAGATTAATTTTTACGAGCGAAAAAAACACAGAAAATGTAAAAGAATCTGGCAGCAGTAGTTTAAATGCTGAGTACGAGGGTGTAGGTCAAGCTGTGATTTATTAAACCGTTATAAACTCCGAGCTTTCCATATTTAGGCAATCCATGTTATCCAAACCCTTGTAATAACGGTGGCAGTTGCCTGGTCTTTTACACTGTGTACCTTTGTAAATGTCCAACGGCTTACAGAGGAACACGATGCAATAGTAAGTGCTGAATTCATCACCTTGTCGCTACATATATTATATACAACTGTTGCATGGGGCACGAAAAGAGACTACATTAGCTTGGGTAAATTAACAAAATGGCTTTTACATATCTCTGTTTTCCGATAAATGTATGAAATTAAGTGTTGATCGAGTGTTGACTTTCAGTGTTGATATATGTATTAGTCAATGGTTACTCTGAACCTTCATTTAGTGCATTTTTTTCATGTATGTATATAAATTTCAACATTTCGGCGTGCCAAATACTAGATCAGAATATGCCTATGCTCGAACGTCAGAGTCATAGAGCTGTCGTCTTCGGTGCACATTTTTAACTTATCGCGCCTCTTCCGAATCTTAAGTCAATAACTAACGATGGATTACTACCACTGGCATCCAGAGGAAGTGACAATACTCTTAGTACCTTTATAATAGAGTAATCGAGATAAGCTCAGGACGCTATTCGAGTAAATTCCGTTTGAAGCCTCCAATTTCAAAATGCCCTTATGATCTTGGAGGAATGATTGACGGTATCCATCTCTTTATTTTCCTATAGTTCTCATTCCACAAAAAGCTTTGGCCTCTCCACCACCTCCCGTACCTTCTGCCAATTTCATGACGGCGATATCCCCTGTGCGTAAGACAACGCAACACTTCAAAGGTGAGAATTGCTATCTGTGGGGGAT